GATAGTTTTATGGTAATATCAGTACATATAATTACATAATTGCATAATTAATTAATTTTCAGCATTTGATATAAATAGTTAGCATTACATTTCAATGAAACTTGGTACTTACATACTCAAGGACTATGCAGAGATTGATTGTTTTCGATAAATATTTGTGCATATTAATCACCTAATTTGCATAATTAGTTAATTTTCAGCTTTTCCACGGGTATCTCAAGTACTAATCATCGCATTTCAATGAAACTTGGTACATAGACCCTTTAGGACTATGCAGAGACCTGATTAGTTTCAGGGTAAATAATTGTGCATATTAATTACCTAATTTGCATAATTAATTTTCAGCTTTTCTACTGATATCTAAAGTACTAATCATCACATTTCAATGAATCTAGAATTATGCAGAGACCCAATTAGTTTTTGGTAAATATTTGTGCATATTAATCACCTAATTTGCATAATTAACCAATTTACAACTTTCACACTGATATCTCGGGTACTAATCATCACATATCAATGAATGTTTATACATGGATGCTGTAGGACAATAGACAGACCTGGATAATTGTGGGTTAAAATCTGTACATATTAATTACCCAATTTGCATAATTAACCAATTTTAAGCTTTCATACTGATATCTAAAGTACTAATTTCCATTTTAATGAAACTTAGTACAAAGATGCTCCAGGACAATGTACAAACCTAATTAGTTTGGGGTAAAACTCTGTTCATATTATTTCCCTAATTAGCATAATAATTCATAATTTTTTGGTTCTAATCACATTTCAATTAAACTTGGTACATAGAGTTTTTGTTACATTGCGCAGACCTCATTAGTTTTACAATCAAATCTGTTCATGTTAATTTTCTGATTTGCATAATTAGTTTTCAGCTAAGTAATTTCAAATTATATTTAATGTGTCTCCAATACTCTCAGCACATGGGAGTTCTTTCTAAGCTTTCTTTGATTTAGAATTTTATTTACACAGCACTAATTACTCTGATAAAACAGTTTAAGTTTGGGGTTGTTACATTTTTTTTCATTTTTTCTAAATTAAATTATATATATTTATTTTTTAACTAGTCAATAACTGCTAGAAGTTATTTTTTTGTCTGACTACTAGCTATTAATGATTACCAGTAGTAACAAATAACTAACTAACTAACTAAATATAACAATTTAAAAAAAATAAATAAATGTAAAACCCCAAACAAAGATTTTATTTTAATCAGACTGAGCATAATAAAGCACATTAATATTATTATTGCAGTTTATTACACACTGAGAATCAAATGTTTGTTTGTTTTATTTACTCCAGTGTTCCACCATCAGTTGACAGATCAACAAAACCATCCACTGAGGTTGAGAATTATAATAATGCCTATGGACTCAGACAGGTTGTTGTACCACAGGAGGTCATGGTAAAGTTCCTAAACTTGGCATTACCTAATACTAATAGAAACGTGGAAACATGTGGAATTCTTGCTGGCAAGTTAGTAAGTAAAATATAAATTTTATTGACATAGCATCATCCTTTGGGGCAATATAAAGTGAATACCATTTTCAAAATTAGTAGCCCAACTGGACGACTAGAAATTTGCACTTTGTTTTTTTAAATAAACTAATTTGTTTCAACCCAAATTAAGCCAAATGACATGTATTTTTTTATTTCTGTCATGCTTTTCTGCACGACTGTAAGTACCCACTAACCCTGAAAAATTACCAAATAATACTACGGGACTACCAGCTCTTAACTTTTTTCTTATATTTCTGGAAATGAACCCTAATTTTGGGGCCAACAGACAAAATTTGACTAAAAAAAATTGGGCTATTTTTGTCCAAATCTACTGAAGGAAAGGGCAGACTATAAACAGAACTATTTTGTGAATTTGTGATGAAAAGATGGAACTGGTGATGAAATAAAAACATGTAGCCCAGACAAACAAATTTGTTAATTTTGAGTCCTGCAAGTAATATGCAGATATAGAGATACCTTAGGACAAATAATGCTAATGTCAAAGAATTAAACAGGGCCGAGCGTGATGGGGATATATTTCTAAAAATACTCAGATTTGCAAAAAAAATCTTATTTTATCATTGTACAGGCATATTTCATATAAATGAATCACAGTATATAGCATAGTTTGATTATATACTTGGTTTTAAAATATTTTATATTAACCTAAAGTACTGGCTAACGCTTTGCTGCTGTGACAAATTGTTTTTATATGTTGGTACCTGGGCTTGTGCTCACTCGTTGCCAGTGGTGAATTAATATATGTCAATTTAAAGTGTGTCACTTTTGTCACTATGTATTATTCTAAGAAAGAGGTGATTAGTTTAAAAACGCCATGCCATCACCCCCAGAAAAGTAAATTAACATGAGGAAAATCTTACTGTTAGTTGTGTACTTCAATTTGTAGAACACAAAAAAAATTAATTAAGGTTTTTTTTATACGGTTATGTTTGTTATAAAACAAGTTCATATCTAACAAAGAGAAAACATTTATAGTATGTTAGCCGCCGTAGCTACAATTATTTTACACTAAGCTTAAACCGTGAATAGGTACTCAGGCCCTGGTATATGGTAAAGAGTTTAATTTTCTCTGCTAGAAGTTTTCAGGATTTTATGATGTTTGTGAAGGCAACATTTTATAATATTCAATGTTTTTTCTAAACCGGGGAACAGGGGCGCAGTGCCCTGATACTCTCGACTGGCACCCTCTTACCACATTGCCAATTGCACTTTCAAGTCATAAATGTATTTTTTGAGCCACGCACTTATGTGCTGCCGGACAACATGAAATCTTTCTAAAATATATTTTTCTCCGTGAAAACTTCCCAGCAACACCAGCTGACAATGTGTCTGGAAACCAAATACCTTAAAATAACTCCAAAAATATTTGGATGGCGATAGATACACTGTTAAATGTTAAAATGGCACAGAAACCTTCAGATATGGTATTTCCAGGTCGACCCACCAGGTCGTTCTGCTCCCTAGCCTGTTGGGGTTTTTTTCTAGAAAAACCCCTGGTATTACCTTGATTGAGAGCATATTGTAAGAGATACAATCACACATACATGTACCCACCCACATATACACCTCCACAAATCCATCTATGACTCAATGTGTGCACTAGTAACAAGTGTGAAGACAGTACAGTTTGAATCACATACAATTCACATACCCACCCACATACCCACCTCCACAAATCCATCTATGGCTCAATGTGTGCACAAGTAACAAGTGTGAAGACAGTACAGTTTGAATCACATACAATTCACACACCCACCCACATATACACCTCCACAAATCCATCTATGGCTCAATGTGTGCACAAGTAACAAGTGTGAAGACAGTACAGTTTGAATCACATACAATTCACATACCCACCCACATATACACCTCCACAAATCCATCTATGACTCAATGTGTGCACAAGTAACAAGTGTGAAGACAGTACAGTTTGAATCACATACAATTCACATACCCACCCACATATACACCTCCACAAATCCATCTATGACTCAATGTGTGCACAAGTAACAAGTGTGAAGACAGTACAGTTGGAATCACATACAATTCACATACCCACCCACATATACACCTCCACAAATCCATCTATGGCTCAATGTGTGCACAAGTAACAAGTGTGAAGACAGTACAGTTTGAATCACATACAATTTACATATCCACCTACATACCCACCTCCACAAATCCATCTATGACTCAATGTGTGCACTAGTAACAAGTGTGAAGACAGTACAGTTTGAATCACATACAATTCACATACCCACCCACATACCCACCTCCACAAATCCATCTATGGCTCAGTGTGTGCACTAGTAACAAGTGTGAAGACAGTACAGTTTGAATCACATACAATTCACATACCCACCCACATACCCACCTCCACAAATCCATCTATGGCTCAATGTGTGCACATGTAACAAGTGTGAAGACAGTACAGTTTGAATCACATACAATTCACATATCCACCCACATACCCACCTCCACAAATCCATCTATGGCTCAATGTGTGCACAAGTAACAAGTTTGAAGACAGAACAGTTTGAATCACATACAATCACACATACCCACCTCCACAAATCCATCTATGGCTCAATGTGTGCACAAGTAACAAGTGTGAAGACAGTACAGTTTGAATCACATACAATTCACATACCCACCCACATACCCACCTTCACAAATCCATCTATGGCTCAATGTGTGCACTAGTAACAAGTGTGAAGACAGTACAGTTTGAATCACATACAATTCACATACCCACCTCCACAAATCCATCTATGGCTCAATGTGTGCACATGTAACAAGTGTGAAGACAGTACAGTTTGAATCACATACAATTCACATATCCACCCACATACCCACCTCCACAAATCCATCTATGGCTCAATGTGTGCACAAGTAACAAGTGTGAAGACAGTACAGTTTGAATCACATACAATTCACATACCCACCCACATACCCACCTCCACAAATCCATCTATGGCTCAATGTGTGCACTAGTAACAAGTGTGAAGACAGTACAGTTTGAATCACATACAATTCACATATTAATTTTCTTCAACCACTGAATGGGGATAATTTGCAGACTATATTTTTTACATACTGTTCCTGTTCTTTTAAACATATTTATGCATTTTCTCAAAAAATGTTAAGTTGAAAAAATATATATATATTAATATATATTGATAATAATTTTCTCTAAATGCTATATATGAATGTTGCTTGAATTATCTAGGTATTTCAATAGGAGTATGATTTATACCAGAATAATTCACGAACCATATGTGAATCAAACCATATGTCGTTTTCACACCTGTGCACAAGTATTAAAATCTGTCTAAAATTATTATAGACATTTCAACTCCAGAGGTCTTGCTTAAATGGAGTCATGGTCATGACAGTGTTTTATGAAAGCATAGTTTAGAACGATTTTGGCATTGTACTCAATGAACTGAACACATTTGGTATAGTTAAACTTCAAACCAAAGTCATGTAGGATCCAGGGCTAAGTGCAACCGTACACACACAGACCATCTTGTGCTAGAGGTCAGTTGATAAGTACATGTCAGGTTATTGTTACCAACATTTTTATTTTCAGTGTCAAAATGCTTTCCTGATAACCCATGTGATAGTGCCAAAACAGAGTGGTACCTCGGATTCTTGTACAACAGTCAATGAAGAAGATATCTTTGATTACCAGGACACTCATGATTTGATTACTTTGGGGTGGATACATGTAAGTGTGAACATAGTTTAATATCTGATATCCTGGGATGGTTACATGCAAGTGTGATAGAGAGATGGTGACACAGCCCTGTCTTGTAGTCCCAAACATGAATAAACTTGCAATTTTCACATTAAAAAAAAGTTGAGAAAGGCAACTGTCACCTGCCACAAAAACATGTGAAAGTAGTCTAATATCTTGGGATGTTCAAATGTAAGTGTGAACATAGCTCTGGTCGGGTAACCTAAGA